TAAACACAGCTGTGCCAGACGCTCCCCATAACAGCTGATTGGATAAATCTATTTTATTACCTTCTCTAATCACTGCAATCCAGCAGTGTCAATGCATCTCTGCATCATTCAAATTTTAATAATTATTCTCTCTCTCTGTCAAAAACCTTTAAAAAAATCACCTACACTCTGTAGTAGACATTCTCAAGTTGATCATTCCCAAAATACCTCAACGTGGTGGTCAATACACAGGGAACCTTTAGGATTTGTAATCAAGTAAGGTTGACTGATTTTGAGTCTGATTTTGAAAAAAGAAAAAGAAAAAGAACAACTTAAATTATTTCAATAAAAAAAATAAAAACAACGTGTTTATTTATGAAACATGCCAGTTTGCCTCCACACCAAAAATGACATTTGATGTCTTGCCAGCACACAGTGTGTGTGTTTTTTATTATCTGGGATTGTGCTTTCCACAGGTGAGCCAGCACCTTTGGGCTTTGCTTTAAATTCATTATCAGCTGTCTTAAAGATGAGAAGCCAATCTGTCTGAGAGGTGTCTGGGAGGCGCTGTAACGTCATCATGACAGAATGAGCTGAAGTGAAATGTCAACCCAGTCCCTAGAGCGTACTGTGCTGTAGTTCCCCAACTGTGTACGTGTGTGTCTGTGTGTGTGTGTTGAGATAATAGATTTAGTTGTCAATGTTATGGCTTAACCAAGGTGGGAGAAAAAAATGCATTTTAAATATTCTATAACCTAAATACAGGAGGTCCTCGGTTTACAACGTCCTCGACCTGCGGCGTTTCATGGTTACGTCACCATCTCCCAGAAGTGTATTAAATAAGTCTTGTTCCATAATTTCGACATACAAAAAACAAATTTCACACAGGAACTACTTGGCGGAGGCGGATGAATACGTAGTCACGCAGAGCCTTACATGGAAGACAACTTTGTTTCTCTCTCTGCCCTTCATTATGGCTCCCCAGCTCAAGTCAGACTATTCTGATGTTTTCTGCTTGAACTGAAGAAGAATCTTGGATGGAGATGAAACGTCTTCATGAAGCATAACCAGTCCAGTTGTCCTTGACGTAACTGCCCGTCAGTTATCACTTGTTGAAGTTCTGTTTATTCCTTTCCTTAAATTTATTTGAATTCAAATGAAACCTGACTTTTACTCACCCTCGTTGTAAAAACACGAGGTAAAAAGTTCCTAGTGCTAAATAACAACCTAATGGACAAACTTACAGACTGATCGCTGTTAAAAAGCTTTTTACTGATGATGAGACACGAGGCTCAACGTGACAGGGTGACAGAATGATGTTAAGTATTTTGCAGTCGTCTACAGTGGTGGACGTTACATTTCCCTAAAAGCAGGAAAAACAACACCAGGTGAATAAAATATGAACCTGGAGTTGGATAGGGTGGTAGCAGATGACACAAGGACTACACAGCATGATAAATGGCGTTGGTAGCTCCCACTTTACTTCACATGTGAGTGGCTAACTCTTAGCCGCCTTCTAACCCTGTACGTAAGCGTGCACGTTTCGTACCTGCAGGGAATCATTTCACTCCATCTTTGTCAGCGCCGACTAAAGATGAGTGCCTTTCCCGATCAGTACCACTGCAGCTGCCTGCAACTCAATGTCACGGCTGAGTACTTTCAGGTGAAGTGGGTGGTTGCTGACAAGAGTCCAGCGCTTAAATAAAAGTCGCTGTTGTTTCGGTCCAGACTTCATCGTCAGGAACCTTTCATTTGTATCTTGTTCCATCACGGCTACTCTGATCCAGGTGCCACATGCGCAGTAAGGTGGTTCTGATACATATGTGACTTTGTTTTTATTCTAGGGTTAATAGTTATCTGTTATAATTCTACTCCATCACAGTCTGTTGCTTTACAGGAGACTTTTATGGTGATTACGGGGATTTTCTTAATAATAAATGAGCCCTCACAATCATGAGGTTGGACAATCAGCACGTCAACATTCTGATGGGACAGTGTAGCTCCAGATAACACACCACAAATACAGCCCCAGAGTAGCAGCACCCCCTCTGGGGAACAGAGTACACACAGCTCAGTCCTTACCAGTAATAATAAAGGCTGTGTATGAAAGGATGGGAATGTACACTTTACTCTTTTTCACCCTCAAGTGGAATGGATACACTTATTTATCCCTTCACTTAGGTTTCTAATACACACACACACACACACACACACAGCCGCATAGACACT